TGTGTGTGTGTGTGTGTGTGTGTGTGTGTGTGTGTGTGTGTGTGTGTGTGTGTGTGTGTGCTCTTATATCTGAGATCAAATTTGCTACAGTGAAAAACCCCCTGTTGTGAAAAATTTCTTGCTGCAAACATGATTTCGTTGTAGAGGAGTTTCACTGTAAAACAAAAAAATATATATTTCCCTCCCCCATCTTTTTCCATTTTCGAACATTTTTGAAAAAGCTCCAGAGAGCCACTAGGCCGCATGAGGCTCTGGAGCCGTGGGTAGCTGACCCCCGCACTAGATGGAGCTATGTTAAAGGGAATACAATACGATACAATGCAGCTTTATTGATATAGAGCTCTCAACTGCTGCAGCTTTGACAAAGCGCTTTACAGAACATTTAAAATACTCCGTCCAAGAAATCAGAATATTGATCCATATATAAGGCGCATCAGAGAAAATGTAATGCATTTATGTGTGTCTTATCATGAGGAAAATATGGTAATTGTTCCATACAACTTAATCCTTGGTAATCGATTGCAATGTGTGCTTTGAATTATTAGCTGGCAAAGACAGAGAACAAAACAGGAACTGCAAATTTGGGAATGATAACAAAAAAAATCCAACTAGCAGTCACTTCGTGAAAATTGTTATTGACCAACCATCAGCAGCAAGAATGATGCTGGCATTGTCGTGTATATCAGCAACCTCCTCCTCTGTCCAGCTAAACTCCACATCAGGATCTACAGGTGAGAAAAATGGACAAATAACAATAAGAAACATATGACTGCAGTCTACAAAAGGGCACGCTTCAACATAGTTTTCTAAGACGACTTTTTTATTACCCGTAAGGATAAGCATCAGGATAAACTTCCCTGAGGGGGCATTTGTCATGAACAGTATGGAAAACGGCTGCAATTAAAACATGTAACTCATCCACAAAACAATCAATCATCTGTATGGACAGCTCACAAAAAGAACAGACTCAGTGTCAAGTTTGCAAATTGTGGCACAAATCAGGGTTACCTTTTATCTTGTGCCATTTTAAAACCCTGCAGTGCATTGTGATTACTACGGTGGAGAGGATTTTCAGAGCCATTTGCCTTTCAATGCAATGGTTTCTATGGTAGAATTTCAGAATTCTGTGTCTATGCAGCATCCTCGTCATTCGCCCCTCGGGCCCTGAGGCGTTCCAATAGTTTTACGTAAATGTGAATCACCCAGAAAAAGTGTTTACCAGTCCGGCGATCGCTCTCTTTGCTGATGTTTGCCTTGGACATTTTCGAAGGATTGTTAAAAGCCGACAAAAGCCAACACAGATATAAGCAGCAGTTCTTCTCAGCATAATTGCACCCCTAAAGTTGTACTACAATTACCGCTACTTAATGGTCACTTAAAAAAGGGTGCTACAATTAGCTGCACCAACTGCACAACCATCACAGTATTCTAAGTATCACACCACTGATCACTTTATCTCTGCTCGATGACTCTGCACATCGCACAGCTGTCATTGGGTGGTCGCACTGCACAATGTTTCCCTTATTACGCAATGTCTTTTGATACTTATATGTCATGTCTTTGCAATAAAATTATTTAATAAATTAATTACCTGTACAAAGGTCAGAACGGAGCCAATCCAACAGTCTTACTTTCACGTCACCACCTGATGGTCAGATATAAAGTAACAGACGAATTGAACAATACATCTTTATTTTTTTTTTTAAGATGGCATGTATGAAGAAAGGACAAACATAATAGAAAATGTATGGTTGTCATGATTTGTGTTGAAATTGTTCTGCATGTATTGGTAATGAAAAAAGTCTCACTTGTCTATCAAGCAGCCTCCCGAATAACACAGAAAAATACAAGACAGGTTTCACAAACACCAAAACTGTAAGGGAGCTACGGATACAAAGTATGCTACATTTTCACCTCCAAAGTACCGGTAGTCAATACGTGGTGACACCCATGATCATAGAAAGCTAATTTGAGATATTGTAACTAATTTGCGCTGATTTTGGCATCAGGGATAATTAAGCTTTCAGGGTCTTGTTCCAAGCAATTTATTTCAGGACGTGCCTGGATCTGTCAGTGCTAAAAACAGCTCACATTTACTGCACAAGTGTAGCAACAAGGGTAACCCAGACTTCACCAAGGAATATAAAGACATACTGTATATAATAACAATATATCAAGACACATATTGCGTATGATAGGTACAAGGTCAAGTACAGGTTGTAAATGGTTTTCATTAGTCTTAAAATGAATCAGAAATGTGTTTTGATGTTGCAATGTTTGTTCTCACCCTGTGCATACAAAAGAGAAACATGACGTTATATTGCAAGCAACTACGTTTAACTGAAAACAGTTTTTGATTTTGTCTAAAGATCACGAGGTTTCATTCATTACATGAGTTTCCATAGCCTTCCAAAGTTCATCTGTCGTTTATAGATGCTGACAAAGCTGACAAAGTCCACAAGATTTACTGCATGGAAACAGATATAGAGCTACACCCACAGTGACCACAGTATTTCATTTCAGAGTTTAGCCCACCATAGGTAAATTGAGATTTTGCAAATTCCTCACCGGCACGCTCAATCATGTGTTCATTTAAAGTTATATTCCTCTGGCACATGCCTAGAAGGTCCTCTCCGACATCTGAAACACAACATTTGATTGTTATACCTATACTAAACAAGAAAAAGATATACCGTATTTTCCGCACTATAAGGCACACCTCAAAGCATTCAATTTTCTCAAAAGCTGACAGTGTCCCTATAATCCGATGCACCTTATATATAATGCGAACATTCTCTTTATATTCCCGATTGAGTTGTTAATAAAACAGTGAATTAGCATAAGCATAGCTTCATGGCCTGATACCTGTGCAGTACACTCGTTTGGCTAAAGTAGCCATGATGATGCTGGTTAAACCGGAACCAGCTCCTAGTTCCACAACTGTTGCCCCTTTGAACATGAGTGGCTTTGAGAGGATGAAGTCAGCCAAGACTAACGCTCCTCTCCAAACCTGGCGGGAGGAGAAAAAAAAAGGTGCTTTGATACATTTCTCATTCCAACCGGTCCAGCCAGTAAGCCATCATGAAATTGACTTCATGACTGCAAAAATGTGACCCCCCCCCCACACACAGAAAAAATGTCACTGTGCATTTTGGATTCCATCAGAAAATGCATTTAAAGCCCCTTTTCCACTGTCCCGGTTCTACCCTGAAACAGCCTGGTTCAGCCCTGTGTGATTGCTTTTCCATTACACTTCTTTGAGGCTAGGCAGGTACAATGGAACCGTTCCTCAGAACGTCTTCCAACCTGGTTCTAGATCACGGGCCGAGGAGGATCATGATGTCACTGTCGTCTGATTGGCAAGGAAGTCGACTGCACGCTCCCATTTCCTGGTTTTAAACAAGCAAGAGACAGCTGGCCGCAGCCAAATCATAAAAACACACTGTATACAGTGCACAAATATTGTTTTACAACAATACTTAATTATATTTACAATATCAAATGCAACTGGGGATGAAATACTGAAGCTTGTGGTAAAAATGTTCATGAGTGGCGCATATGTCACGGGATCCATTTAAGTGAATGAGAAAGAGTCTCGTCTTTTAACATATACAAAGTTTCTTTTTTAGGGCTGCCGCAGAGTGAACGGTGACATTCAAGGAACACACAGGCTGCTACATAAAGATGTTGTGGTGTACAATAAAGACAAAAATGGGTATTTATTGAAACACGGATGGAACGCATACTGTCATGGATCTGTTTGTGACCAACAGGTGGCACTGCAGGGCTCCGCCTGTAGCTGCACACTTGTTGGTCATTGTTTCATTAGTTGCCACTTTAAAAGACTTGATGCCCGACCACTCAGTGTCGGGTCATTGTTGCTGTGTGCACGTGTCATGTTTTGTTTTCTGTCTTAGTTTTTTTGCTACTTTGATTTCTTGTGATTTTGCTGGACTTTATTTGAGTGAGTTTTTGAGTTAGTTTCTCCAATGTATTCCTGTTTGCATTTTTGTGAAATACATTTTGGTCAGCCCACCTGCTCCTCCCTGCCTCCCTGCTTTTTGGGGTCCTCCAACTACCACCTCGCAAAACATGACATATACTTCTTCACTTGATTGGTCGGAGCAGGCCAGGTGCGATCGGCTTGTGAAAATTTTTACCAAGGGAAGGGAATGGAAGCCACAAGCCAACCCTTCCTTCAATGTATTGCAGTTGAGCCACATACAATTCCGAACGTTTTTTTTTCCCTCTACTACAACAGTATTAAAAAACACTGCAATCAACCTACAAATGTATTTTTTTGTTCCAAGTGATTTTCATGAAAAGGCTTATTTTGTGGGAATTAAAGAAAAGTGAAGAGGAGGAGTCTTTGATGTGCTAAAAGAATAGAACAGACTCCCATTATCCACACATATATTTCCGGTATGCTATCTGAAAGTCTGCCATCCTAACGCAATGATTTTTCAGACATGTTAGATATTTAGTGCATTCTTATTTGAACTGAAAAATGATCATTATCTTCCCATTTTGCATGCTGCCCTCTACTGGAGATTAACAGTAAATGGATGAGAGGGAGAGTATAAAACCAGAAGGCTTATATAATCAGAGATGAAAGTGGACTTTCCTGAAAATTCCGGGAAAAAAATTATAATATATATATATACACACACACACACACACACACACACACACACACACACACACACACACACATACACTCTATAGAAAAGCGCG